CGAGGCCCGCGCGGCTCGTAGCCGCCAGGCCTCGGCGCTTCCCCCTGCCCCTGGCTGGAGAGCGAGGCCCGCGCGGCTCGTAGCCGCCGGGCCTCGGCGCTTTCCCCCGGCTGGAGAGTGAGGCCCGCGCGGCTCGTAGCCACCGGGCCTCGGCACTTCCCCCCTCTCCCCCGCAAAGCGGCTGTTAGGCAGTGGTGAGGGCGCCGGCAGAGCGTTGCCTGCGCATGCGCAGGGGACGCTCTGTCAGTTTCGGGGGGATTTAAGTATCCCCCCATTTTTTTGAAGTTTTTGGATTTTTGTGCAGACGTGGGGACCTCCCCACGGGCGCACAAACATCTCCCTCTCCCCCAGGTGCCCCCGGTGCGCGGATTTAAGCATCCGCACACAGGGGGCACACTTGAGAATTAGATATATAGATGGTGATGCCACACTGTGTCCTCAGTGTGTCCTCCATAGTCCTCCTATCCAAGAGGGCTCACTCCCAGGACCGTGTTTTTAGGATTGCCCTGTGAACATTACATATAAACGTTCCTTCGGAGTTGGTCAGATTGTTTCCGTCACCAGCCTCAGGCGTAGGGGCGGATTAAGGCTCACTGGTGCCCTAAGCACTGACCAATCTTGGTGCCCCCCGCCTTTCCACACTGACCCAGTCCATTTTAGTTGTTGACCTGTCTGACCAGATATACAATGCAGGTTGCAGCAATACAAAAATATATTCATATGATAACACAATATACTGTACAAACTAAGCCAAGCTTGGGCTACATAAAGTTCTACAAAACCGCAATACAACATCTATTTTAATATTTCGCAAGTTAAACGTTTCAAAGTTCCAGTATTCATGAACTGAAAGGTATTTTTCTACATTTCATTTTTGCAAAATCACTGATTACATCCTTGAAATTAATACTTTTCAGAATGTCTGCTTCAATTGTTAATATACACAGTGAGTTGAGTCTTTCTTGAAGCATAACTGATCTATTTAGGTTTTTTACACGTTTTAGTTGTGCAAAAGACCTCTCTGTTCTGCAGTTGGTGACCATTAATGTTAAAATATTCTTAAGGCAATTTCAACATTTGGAAAGGCACTCTCTAGTTTGTCTTCTGTAATTGTGTTGTAAAGTTCCATGTGAGTGAAAGATATTTTCTTGGTTGTTTTAAACTTATGAAGAACATATGAATGGAACTGCTGAAGCTCTGTAGACAAAGTGTTGTTCATGTAATCTGGATAAGCATCAATGAGTGTCTGACAAGTCTTTGAGTACCTTTCACTTTCTGATAATTAGCAATTAGAACCTTGTTAGGTGGCATTAGGAACATCTGTCAGACAAGAGAATCTGTCTGCTATTTCAGTGTATACCTTTCATCTCCTCCTCATTTCCGTTTCTAACTTTTCTAACTGATTTGCATCCAAAAGTTTTTGCTGCATGCCATTGTAACATCCAGACATGTTGGCAGCATTGTCATATGACTGCACTCTGCATTTAGCAAAATCCAATTTACAATCATCACATAAGTACTTCAACACCTGCTGTGCCATAGCTTCACCAGTGTGGTTTTGTAATTCCAAAAATGTGATAAATCGTTCAACTGGCTGTCCATCTTGCAAGTATCTGAGCACTATGCTCAGTTGGTCAACATGCGAAAGAACAGGCGTTGAGTCCACAGACAGACTGAAGTACCCAGAAACATTAATTTTGTCAATGATGACGGAGTGCACTTTCTTTGCCATTAACTCAATAAGTTCCTCACATATCATTTTGGACAGGTATGAAGGGTTGCCTTTTCTAGCATTACCATACCCTGATATGTGAGCAGCCAAGAATGGGTCCAGTAGCCACAAATTTTTCCAGTTTTTTTCTTTTCACCCTTTCCCCAACTTTGTGGTGCCCCCTATGGCCCTGGTGCCCTAAGCGTGCTTAGTCTGCTTAATGGTTAATCTGCTCCTGCCCAGTGCTGCAAAGCACCCAAGTTCAACCTACAGGAGGCAGAGAAGAGCCCTGACACCTAGGCGTCACAGTTCCTTGTTTTCATGTGAATCGCTGGAAAGGATAAATAAGCGGAAAGACAGGTAGAAAGAGAGGCTTTCGTGTTCTATTGAGGAAACATAAACAGCTCCCATCTCTCACGAACTGGAAACAACAAATATTTCATTCTGGTTTGGGACTCAACCGCGAAGATTTTTAAGGAAGAAGAAAAAGACGGAGGCAGGTAACACTGCATACGCCGACAGTCAATCACGCTAACCAGGCGACTAACACCGATAAAATGTTGTGCCCACAGAGACGCTGAAATCGCCTGGCGGAGGAGAAATACCCCCGAAGGCCACGCCCCCTCCACAGAGATTGGTGCCATCCCCGTTTACTCGTCGTCCATCACACCCCCTCTCTCTTAAGCCCCGCCTCTGTGCGTGACGCCTTTTCCGGTGGGAAGGCACAAGGTCTTTCGCCGCGGTGCAGGTCACGTGTACGTGGAGGTTGAGCGCGGGTGAGGAGGAGCAACGCCGCTGTCGAGTGTAGCTGCGGCGTCGGGGGCTTTCCTCTCCCCACCCTTTCCCGCGCGCGTTGCCTGGTCCTCGCGACGGTGGCAGCAGATGAAGGAGCCGGCGGGAGGCCGCCCGGAGCCCCTGCCCCACCGCCACTCCCCTTGCCGCCCCCGCCGCCCCCCGGGCAGGAAGATGGGAGCGAAATGAGCCCTGAGCCGGAGCCGCCGCCGCCTCCGCCTCCTCCTCCTCTTCTTCCTCTTGCAGCGCCGGCCCGGGAAGCGGAGGTGGTGGCCTTGACAGTGGCGGCGGCCGCAGCAGCAGCAGTGGTGGAAGGGGACGCAGACGTAGCAGGAGTCAGCGACGGCAAGAAGTGGGGGAGCCGAATCATGCTGGTGGGGAGAATCGGCTTCAAGCCCGGCGGAGGCTCTTCGGTGAGTGTCCGGAGAGGACCTGGGGCCCCTGGGGGAAAGGAGGCGGGCGCGCACCCCCCTTCATTCCGTGGCTCTGGGCGAAGCATCAAGCAGCTGGCGGAGAAGGAGACCTTCTGCACGTTGCCTCTTCTCCGTATCTTCTACCCCCCTGCATATCCCCGGTGACGCCTGGCCCTGCTAAGGCGGTGTTTAATGTGGTGGTCCTCATTCGTGTCTTAAACCCTGGTGGGGTGGGTGGAGTTGGGGGGGTGGATCTTCTCTTTCTAGTCTGTTTTAAAATCCGAACGAGATAGGCGCTTGTCGTATACACAGCGGACGGAGAGGCTTTTTTGAAATTGCCTTTCCTGCACTGGAATGATGGCCGAGGCCTGCTTGGGGAGTGAGGAAAGGGCACTGTCCCCATCGCCATTATTTCATCTCTCGTTTATTTCTCGCCCAGTAAAGATGCTCTTGGCCTTAAGGCTGGTACTTCCAGCAAACTTTCCAAGAACTCTACCAGTCTTCTTCAAAGAATTGGAATGCTTAATTTATTTACTTGCAACTTGCACATTGTACATCTAAAAGTCACAATCTGATTCATGCTTGTAAAAGAATGTTACCTAGTACTTACTTTAGGATAGAGGGATGTCTTTTAACCTACCTGTAAATCTGTCACTGCATCTTGAAGATGAACTAATATTTGTTGGGCTTATTGTTGTTTGCCCTGTCTGTATGCTTTTAAGTAGGTTAAGAAGGGGCAATGAGGTGTCTTTCCTGCCCCCTTTTGCCAGGTCTGTTCTTGCTACAATCACTCTTTAGCCTTAAGCTACTTGTCCTTTTTTGGCTCACTATGCTGTGTTGTGGAAGACACATGCATGTATGGGGTCTTTGACACTTGGTAAAGTATATAAGGGCTTCATGGTGTCATTTTGTTTTCAGCCATTTCATTTGGCAGTTTATGATGTACTGTTAGCTGTTTAAAGGTCGCAGAGTGAAATGTATCATTGGTGTCAAAGGGTCTGGGTAAAAATCGTGTCTAGATGATTTTAAACGGACCCCCATGAATTCATATGATTTTTACATTGAAACAAAATAAAACCACCATCATGCTGTAGATCATGTCTTAGACTATAGGCACAACTACAAAAATCATGCATCCACGGATTTGTTGCCCCACTACACTGCAAAAACATGGTTTCAAAGCATGGATCCCCATGAATTTATATGATTTTTACATTGAAATGAAATTCACCATAATCATACAACAGACCATGTCGTAGTCTGTAGGCAGCACCACAAAAATCACGCATCCATGGATGCCACAACAGTGCAAAAACATGGTTCCAAAGCATGAATCCTCATGGATCCTCAGGGTATTTGCATTGAGTTACCCCAACATCACAATCAAATTCACCTATCATGTCCATGGGCAGAGTTTATACCACCAAAATCATGGATCCACGGGTTCATAGTAACACCATAGATCTTTAGGATTTTTGCTTTGGTTCCCCCAAAGCTCACCATCAAATCACATATCATGTCCATGGCCACAGCCTACACCACAAAATTCACGGATCCACAGCTTTGTGGCAACACCATGTTGCAAAAAGAAAAAATGGTTTTGAAGCACAGATCCTCATGTATCCTTGGTTTTTCAACTAAGTCACTCCAGCATCACCATCAACTCACATATCTTGTCCATGACCACAGAAATCACATGTCCCCGGCTTCTCTTATCCCATCATTAGAATGTTCCAGATGTTCTGGTTTTCCTCTTATTTTCCAGATCCATCAGCTGTTCTCCCTTCTCCCCACCATTTTCTCTTCCTTGTAAAGGGAGGCCTGTGGCTGAGGGGCAGACCCTGCCCATGGACATGATATATGATATGTGATTTGATGGTGATGTTGGGGTGACCCAAAGCAAAAATCGTAAGGATCCATGAGGATTCGTGCTTTGGAATCATGTTTTTGCAGCATGGTGTTGCCACAAAGCTGTGGATCTGCGATTTTTGTGGTGCAAGCTCTGCACATGGAAATAATATGTGATTTGATGGTGAGTCTGGGGTGACCCAGTGCAAAATCCCTGAGGATCCCTGTGGATCCATGGTTCAGAACCATGTTTTTGCAGCATGGTGTCACCACCAAGCCGTGGACATGTGATTTCTGTGGTGCACGCTGTGGCCATGGACAAGATATGTGATTTGATGTTGATGTTGGAGTGATTCAGTTGAAAAACCCTGAGGATCTGTTGTTTGGAACCATGTTTTTCCACTATTGTGATGCCACGAATCCATGGAGTTGTGATTTTTGTAGTGTTGCCTATAGTCTAAGACATGGTCTACAGAATGCTGGTGGTTTTATTTCATTTCAGCATAAAAATAATACGAATTCATGAGGATCCCTGCTTTGGAATCATATTTTGTGCTGTTGTGGTACCACGAATCTGTGGATGCATGATTTTTGTGGTGCTGCCTATAGACTAACACATGGTGTACCATATGATGGTGATTTTGTTTTGTTTCAATGTAAAAATTATATGAATTCATGAGGATCGATGTAGATCCGACTTTCACTTTTTTCCTTGTCAACTTGGATATTACTCATCACTTGCACAATAGTGGGGCATGATGTTTGTATTGGATATTTTTTGTGTAAGTCCAAAAGATGTGGGATATCTTCATTTTTCCTGTGTATCCCTGGTCACCACCTCCTATATATGGAAAGCCTGAACTATATGAAAACCTTAGGAGGTGGTGCCCTGGTGCCCAAGTGGCCATGCTGTTGACCTCTTCATTATTGTGGGCCTCATTTGTGCCCATAAGCCCAGTAACATCATATTGTGCTACATGGCCCACTGTTTTGCAGAAGTATGTCCCAGCAGCCTGCGAGCGGTTGTGTTTTGGCACATAAGGCAGTTATTGCAATTTGATTGCTTTTCTAGATTTGTTGCACTAGTACTACTTTGGAGCTGCTTTTAGTAAGTTTAATAAATAGTACAGATTAGCATTGTAGATAATTTATTTGTACATTGCAGCCTTCATAATGTTTCACAGGTTCCCGTGAGCGTTGACTGACTCTCCAGGTCTTCATTTGGAATAAATTATAGCTTGCTTGGAGTCAGTGGCTGTGTTGGCAGAAGGGTTCCGGTGTTAAAGCATTATTGCTTCATTGTTCATCATCATAAAGCTGAGAAAATATAACTGTGTAAGTGTAAAGATGAAATTGTGGGCTTGGTGTGTTGGTTGGTCCAAGCAGCTGTCATCGAAAGGTTTCAGCTCGAAAAAATACTAGTGAAAAATTTCCAGGAAGGAACAAT